TTTGTGTAGAAAAACAGGGGGGCGGAGCCATTTTGCTGGATCGGCTGGTTGGCTCCTATCATGATCCAAACCCAATCTATAGGACTCTGGCTATACATAAACAACTCAAGTTTTTTCTTAAGAAGTTTTAAGAAAACCTAGGTTAGTTTGAATGGCTTATTAGCCCCTTAATATAGAAATGATCCCCTATTTATGGACTAGAGGGTATGAAATGTACAATTTTCTGTCTGCCCTTATTTGGAATAAGGGCCCTAACGAGGTATTTTGATCATAAATAACTACATGAATAAAATAATAAATAAATAAAATAAAAAAAGTTGTTTATGTCTCAAAAATAATGTCTTTTATGTCTTATTATAGTGCTCACGGTGAATAAAAGGGCATTTACACACTTACCACACATTTCTAATATATTTTCCTATCTAAAACCTAAACATTCATATTTGCATGTATAACACTCAAATATTTAAGGTTGCATAAAAAGTATCATTATCAGTGTAATTTAAACATGAAATCCATAGTTTCATACATAGCTTATAAATGTAAATATCAATATTGGTTTTTTCATATGTAAACTCATAAAAAATGTCTGGTATGTAGCAATTTTACTAAAAAAAATTAAAAAAAAAACTATTAGAAGTTGATATTTTTGCCAATGACAACGGTTATAAAAAGGCTGCTAAAGTCTTACAAAAATCTTTTAGTTTAAAATTGCAATGTTACTAGCCTATATTGAGATTTAATCATTGCTAGCTTTGCAATGGTTAAAATTATTGCAATAATTTTATTTTGCATCCATTTAAATTGTCACATGTTGAATCCTGGATTGTCTTTCAAAACTACATGTTTCAAGAGTTAGAGTAGGGAGTGGCAGATGGAGAGAAGAAAAGTGCTAAGAAATTCTCAGACAGAGGTCGGGAAAAAGTCTGCAAACTGGGGTCCCATTATTTGTCATTTTGCCCCCGATTTAGAGGGTTGTATTCATACAATTACAGAAAGAAGAAACAATTATGAAAATCACACTTAATGCAACCAATGTGTTCATTTAATAAAAAAATGGTATTACAATTTAAATTTGAATATTGTGATAACCAGCTGGTTGACAAGTTTGAGTTCAGTCAACAGAGGCAACCGGTCCACTGACTTATACTTTAATAGTTTGCCAACTATCCTAGTTATATTAAAATATTTGTTATTGTTGTACCTTGACTCAATAACTAATTTCCTATATACCACAACAATTCAATTAGTGATGAATATTTTTTTCTTAAATTGATTATTCAAAAGGATTTTTAAAGTTGGGGAAGTTACTTTTTAAATTGTTCCAATTAATTATAATGTTTTATTACTTACTAAGCTAATTAATGTTCCCTATATTTTAGT